TTGCTCAACCGTCATCTCCTTGTGGGATGAAATTTTTCATTATTTGAAGCACTATCCTAGCCGTTTTCTGGGGGCCCTAAATGTAGACTGGCCTGAAATATGGCCTTACGGCTGAAAGGGGTTTCTGGGACCTCTCCACGGGTGATCTCAACCGCATGGTGACACTTTATGTCACGATGTGTTTATCGCTACAACTTACCTACCTACTTTAGTATGTGTCAAATTCTAACAGTGCTCCCACTGTCGGACGCAGTATTTTGTTGTTCTAAAGCTCCACCCTGGCTGTTGCTGAGGAGCACTAATATAACCCAGCCTATGGGTTGAAGGGGGTTTCTGGGGCCTATCCTCGGATGATCCTCATCCAAATGGTGACACTTTGTATAACCGGTTGTTTATCGCTCTGTGTGATGTCCTATTGTGGTTGAACTAGTCATGTTTTAAGTTTACTTTTTAAATAATTATGATATTCGTGTTGTGTAATGTGTCTTTGAGACTCCAACATGTTTTCCATTGTCAGAAAAGTTTTTTTTTTTTAACTTGCTCATAAATCATTAAGGGGAGATTTTTGGAGTAAATATTGGTTGCAGTATAGTAAGTAGTGTTCAGTATTTTTATATTTCTTACATTCAGAATAGATGCCATACATTTTAGTTAAATAAGCCACTCCAAGTTGTAGACTCAGTAATTTTTTTCTTTTTCGCAAGGGATTTTTATTCAATTAGTTATCTGACATTTACTCATTACTGGTTGGAGCTTTTAGCAGTGTGGATGTATGTCTTCATTTCAAACCTTCATTCCACTTTGTTGCTCATTCTTAGGTATTGTTAGACTAGATACATAAAGGGATTAAGAATTTTAAAGTTATGAACTTGCAGCAGACTTCATACTAAAAAAAAGTTGGGTGTGTAAATCTTTCCATCTGTTTTCCTTTTAAATGCCCACTTGTGTATGTATGTACATATGTGTGTGTATATATATATATATGTATATGTACAGACATACATACATACACATATATATACATACAAACACACACACACATATTGTGCCATGAGACGTCTCTTAGGACTCACATTCAATTCCTCCACTCCGCTATACTTGTATGCAACTTTCTTGATTTCTTACGAGGACTTCAACCCAGCAACTTTTAATTCTCGTAATAATGTGCTTCGTATTGTTTCCCGTGGACGTCCTCTTTTTCTCAGAGCGCCTGTTTCCCACCTCAGTGCCTGTTTTGTAATTCTTTGCTAATTTAGACTCAAAGTATGCCCAGTATATATCCACCTTGTTTACCATATTGCGGTCGATACAGGTATTTGTCCAGACATTTCTCTGGTCTCCTAACTCTTTTTGAATTCATCCCATTTTATGTTCATGATTTTTATCAGTCATTTATTTTCAAATGCCTTTAACCTCCGTTCTATATCTTTGGTGATTCTCCAACTTTTGCTAGCATATGTTAGACCTGAAATAAAGTTCGAACTGAAGATTCATAGTTTGATCTTAAAGCTGTATAACTTGGAGCTCCATATTTTGTTAAGACTTTTAAGGACTGTTGTTGCTGTGCCAATGCAAATCATAATTTCCTTTGTTGTATCTCCATGATTAATATAAATATATATATATGGTTGGTTAGTTGCGTATCCTTTACAGGACGTTGCAGAACCAACCCCAACAGACCCTGGCTGTTGCGTGGTTTTTCTAGGCAAATTTACGTCCATTTAGTTTGGCATTGCTTTCTGGATGGTCGGCCTTCTTGATACCACTGTCGAAACCAACGCAAGGCGCCCGCAGCTGGGATTGAACCCGGCATCCCGGCATTACGAAGCGTTCGCATCGACTTAGCCACAGAGCCGATATATATAGATACATACACACACACACACACACACACACACAAACACACACACACACTTATATATATATATATATATATATATATATATATATATATATATATATATATATATATATATATATATATATATATATATATATATATATATATATATATATATATATATATATATATATATATATATATATATATATACACACACACATACATACACACTTCCCATCAACCCATACATTCGTAGAAATAAAAATAGATTTGAAACTATCGATTTACTGAATGCATAGACATGAATGTTGTTGCTAGCTGTGTTTATGATTTCCAGTCAACTGCCAACATGTATGGCTTCCAGCTGCTCAGTGATTTTTTTTTTTTATTGTAACGTTTTGAGTTTTAAATATTTAACAAAATGTTTTATGTGCATGATTTCTCTCCTGACAGAATCATGTACACATTAATTGTGTTATGAACTGCTTACCTGATTTAAATATTTATAACCGTTCTTTAATAAGTGAATGTTACAACAAATTGCAGATTTTATGAAGTAAAAGACATTGTTAACAGACATGGCTAGCAGTAACTCCTCTACAGGCAGTAAGTTATTCTACTTACATTTTTTTCTTCTCACTTGAGCTTCTTCTACTCTAGAATGTACAGTTAATTTACAAGGACACACAGTATACATTTGATGAACCAAAGTAATCAGGGTACCTCACCTGTGATCAAAGACCAGCTTGCATGTTGTTGGGACATACACAAGCAGTGGCTATTGATACAAAAAATAAAAGCTATTGATACAATAATAATAGCTATTGTTACAAAAATAATGGCTGTTGACTCTTTCCATTCCATCTTATTTCAGAGCATATGCTCCAGAGAGACTTTAACTATTATACAAAATGATGTGTGCATATTACTTTAAAAGACACATCATTACTGAATAGTGTCAGACATGAATTTTCTTGGCATCTTTAAAGAAGGTTGGTTCCCATTGTTTTCTTTTATGTCATGGACCGTATTATTTTTCTTGAATATAACTCTTATCACTACAGTGCGATCTTCTGCCTACCATCTTCAAACCATGACTCACACTGACTGGTGGCTTCTCTCAAGCACAGCTAAATGCACCATCTGCTCCACAATATCATGTTCGCCTGATTTTTTGTTTAAAGGAGGGGGGGCGGGGGGACTGATCAGAAGCACCAACCTGCTCAAGGATTTTCCATACGTTAACTGAGTAAAAGCTGTCTGTTCTTTTTCTTGGTAGGGAAGATTTGTACACCTGTACTTTAATAAGCAGGAAACAAAGAACAAACAAAAAGAAAACACATTTAATTTACAAGCTGTGGGGGTGTTGTTTCTGAGGAAATTTGCTAAGAATATCATGGACCAACAGGTGAATAAATGAGGCACTCTCCAAGAAATATATCAAAACCATACACTGATTAGACAAATTAGATATTCACATTTCGGAGTCTTTGGCATGTTTTGGGGAGAAATAAGCTTGAAAACTTAGCTACAACTGGCAAATTTGATTGAAGAAGAGCAAAGATGAATGGGCACATGATGATAACAATTTTTAAAAATCTGGCCAGATTTTTTTTAGTAATATCACTCCAAATTAAAAAGACATAACACACACTGGGTGCTTGGTACACATAGACATTGAGCTAAAAATAGCTGTTCATGTATTCTCTTTTGTTTGTGACACAACAAGTTACTTGTTCAACAGAACACACAAATTAATTCTGCATAGTGATTAATTTATTATATTGGATAGGTGTTAAATTTGGCGCCACCACTGCATTTGATTGTAAAGCGGGAAGTGATCGTACGGGAGGTTGTGGGGGGGGGGGGGTGTTCTGGTCGCTATTCTACACTCAGAGCAAAGGCAGGACACACATATAATCAGACTGTCACTAGCGTCATTAGAATTGGAACCTTTCATCGGCTGCTATAGGTGAAAACTGAACACTCATAGGAATGTCCTGAGTGCTATGATATCAATTCTGGACTCAACTCAGCTCACCTCATTTGACAGGAGTCTACAAAACGATGATCAATGTAAGGAAATGTGAAATAAATTCAAGTCCTACATTTGATTCTTCATAGTAAAGCCATAAGCAGATTACCGGCCCTATCAGAATTGGAACTTTTCACTGGCTGCTGAAGATGAGAACGGAACACATATGGAAATGTCCCAAAGAGTGCTGTGATATCATTTCTGGACTCAGCATAGCTCACTGGATAGGAGTCTAATAAAATTATGTCATGCATTAGGGAATGTGAAATAAAGTTAAGTCCTACGAGTGATTCTTCGTAGTGATGCCATGCGCAGATTTGACACCACTCTGAGAAGACATGGTAATCACTGGCTAGTTAGTTAGTCGACAGATTATCTTTATTGCAGATCGAACCATTAATTCCATAAAGTGCTCGGAACCCCTCCTTAGTAAATCCTGCATTGAGCAGCAGCTCATGACATCAGTTCTGTGTGGGTTTCTTATTCTTCTTTGGCTTCCTGTATAGTGCTCTTGTCTGGCCACACCCTTTTAACATTTTGTTCTTGCAGTCTGGTCATGGTTGCAGATTCACAGTCGTCTCTTGGTTTTTGCAAACATCTTACTTCTCTAACATGCATTTTCAGGGAGTGTGACTAGTTGGTTTCATGTGCAATTAACTGCATATGACACCACTAGTTTTGAGGTAACAGGCTTCCCGCCATTTTCTGAATCTAATTAGGGGTTTGCTAAGATCGGATGTATTCTGTGAAAAGGCACAGAATTGCACCCTAACTGCAAAGCACAGCACTGTGTACCAACCACCCTTAAGAGGGGTGAACACAGAATATGTAGAACTGTAATCAAATTCATTATTGTTGATCTATTCAAAATGTCTATTTACATATGAGGTTGACATTATGGTTATAATGATAATGACATCCGCCCTGTACATAATGTCTAATAAAATATCTCTTACTGATATTTTCATCGTTATTCTCAATAAATTTAATTTATTTTGAGTCATCTTCAGAGAGTCAAGAACTTCTTTAATAAAATTGTTTTAAATTGAATTTCCTGATATTGTCCTCTTGTTTGTATTTCATTTTCATCAAGCTTGTGACATTTTTATTTGCAGGTTTCAGTAAAATGTCTCTCTCAGAAAGAGAGATGCAGTTGGGACCTTGGGAACAGATCTTGACAAATGGTGCTCTTGATCCAAGTCTAGTTACTAAATCTGAGTCCAAACTTAGCAGTATTAAATCAGATATAGAGGAGGAAGATAATTTCTCTGATGGAGACTTTTCCAATAATGAACAACGAGAAGAAAGTATGCATTAATCAATTAAAGTGGATGAATGAAGAATGTCAATTTGTGTTGCAATTTATTAGGTTTGTTAGTTATAGGTATTTGATTATTATTTTGTGTTTTTGTAGCCAACTTGTTTTAGTTATTGTGCACAGCTACTTTAAAAAAAAAAAAAATTTACTTTCATTTTTATAATTTAAATAAATTTTCAACATATACTTGCTAATTTAAATATCTATTTTTCTTTTGTTTCATGGAGGAAATTAATGGGAAAAAATGGAGAAATGGAAGGGGGGATTTCATTTTCATAATTTGTGTATAGTATATTTGTATACTTGCATTATCAGTTATAAGACAAAGACAATGGCTGTAAATTGGATGTATTATGTGGAAAAACAGACAGAGCATCACCAGACAAGCACTGAAATGGGAAACACGGGAAGGGAGGTAACAAGGAAGTCCAAAGAAACTATGAGACAGAATTTCTGAGAGAATCCAAAGGTAACGGACTGAATTTCACCACTGATGTCGCGAGGATTGGACAGGACAGAATGGAATGCAGGACTAGACTGTGAGCCATATATAACAAATAACAGCACAGAAAGATGACGATAATGATGTTTGAATCCCACATAATGGGCGATTAACACCCAGTTACCCAATTTGGATGAGAATCCTCCTGATATGAATCCCAGAAACCCCTTTCAACCGTAAAGTTATAATGGGGTCCCCGATGGTTACAAAGTAATCTGAAGCCTGGACAGAAGAGGCTGATTGTGACTGGCTGATCTAGAGTGCTAGCCCCATATTTTTATTGACCAATAGGGTAAATATCTAACCAACAACCTTTGCTTTTCAGAACATTTTCCTGGTATCCATTTTAACCTGGACTGATCTGCAAATCCAGACCAATTGTGACCTCATGCATAAGAGCACAAAATCTGTTTAAGGTTTGGTAATGTCCACAAAATGATATAGTCACCAATTGACGTTAGGCAGTATTCACAATTGAGTGAACAATTTGAGCTCTGAATTCATTTTAAAATGTTTTTATTTTCATTAAAACTGTGTTTTACTGTTGATTAAGATCTTAAATAATCAGTTTGAAATGGTGAGACATTTTGATGATGATTCACAGACAAGAGGTTTTAATATTTTCTAGTATATTTCCTCTTATTTTTGAGAACATTCTAACTTTAATTTGCTACGTTCATGGTGTCTTGACAGTTTAATCAGTGTTGACAAAAAAATTAAAGCTTTAAAAATTAAGGGTCATTAGGTGTTATTTTTATAAAGACAATATTATCAGACCAAAATTACCTTGAATCCTCGATAGGATGATGCCAATTTTTTCTGTGGGTAAAACTAAAAATTCTAACCTGCACAGTTTGTGGTGACTGCACTAGCCATACAGCCCTAAATCCTCAGATTCTTTCATCACTCTAAAAAGTGGCAGGTACAGGCAGTAACAAAAGTTATCTTTCTGTACTATTTAAAAAGCTTTTAACAGCCTTAAATTATATTAAACTGTAACAACAGTACACTATTGAGACCCCATTATAGTGGCAGTGTCAGCCAGCTAATTTGCTCCTTCATTTTCCACAACACCTACATACCCTTCTTTGGAGATGACTGAAACTCTTGTCTTCTTTTTTCGCCTTCATCAGCTGTAAACTATGGTACCAAGTTCTGGTTGTTTAATCTCTTCTGGTGATTTGTCTTATTATGAAACTCTATAAACTGTGGGTGTTTGCATAGATTTAGTTTAATGCCTGCTGGTGATACCTACCTCAGTGTTCTGTATCAAGATCAGTGAATCGCTCAGCCCTTTTTCCCTAAGAAGCTGAAAAACCGACACTTCCGGCTGGGTCCAGTTCCCCGTAAATGTGGCTTTTCCAACTTGCCTATCGTTATATTTATGAGATGTTTAATTAATGCAATTTGCTGATTTTGTGCCAGTTCAAACATTCACGAGGTTAGGATATTAATAAATTAACTAACAGTAGCATTTCTAGGTATTTTCCTTTGTGCTAAATGGCTTATTGTGAAGCCAAGATGATGTCAGATTTTCTCATAAACATTCATGGTAAAGGTCACGAGGGTGGCGATATGAGTCCCCCCAATGTGTATATGCTTTTTTTAAGGCACTCCAGGAATTATTCAATTTAATGGTTCACCCTGTTCTTGTTTATTGATTAATCCTTTTATATTGTTTTATTATATATATTTAAAAAAAAAACTAATACCACAACATCCAGCTTGAGAATGGAGGTGGAGGCGGTCACTGCAGCTTTCCGCTGGTTAGAGAACACGACACACACACACACACATCGTGATTGTAACTGACTCAGAAAGCATGCTGAGGAAGGTCAGGACAGGCATGCTTTGTGCAGAGTGGCATGCTTCACTGCTGAGGACACAGGTGAGGAGTATTGTCTGGATTTTTTCACCCGGATACACCAGTGTGTTGGGAAATGAACAGGGGGGACAGACTGGCTGGCTCTGCACAACCTGGTGGAATACTGATGCATGATAAAGTAGACATGATTAGTGCCTTGTGGGAGAGCGTGTACAATTCGGAGGAGCAGATGGATCATCAGTCTGGTGAGATTGATGCAGCGGGGAGTGACGAGAGGTTGCGGCAGATGCTCGAAGCTCAGAGGAAAGGCAAGATGGACGTTTAGTCAAAATGTTACTGGCACCATTAGTATCAGAACTCCTCACTGGCTGCTGAAGCTGGGGATGGAGCACTTATGGGAATGCCACGATTGCTGTGATGTCGGTTCTTGAATCAACTCAACTTTAAAAATTTAATTTTTTTATGTCAATAACTACCTTTTTAACAAATTTATTAGTGATCTGTGTAAACAATGGTTGTTTTAACATTTTTTTTTCAGGGAATCTGATGGGGTCATGACTTTTTCTTTTATTAGAGTTCTCAGAGCTGAGAGGGTTAATGTGCATGCATACATGTAGTTTTTACAGCTTATGCAAAAATAGTGCTTTTGTTAAACCAACACTTCTCCTGTTCTGCTTTTGGTCATACCAAATGCAAGGCTGACTTCTTTAATGATTCTGCCATGTAAGCACCATCACCTGGCTCATCACAATTTGAATGCCAAGCAACTTAAGCACAGCACATCATCATCACAGTTTTTGGAATCGTTTTCTATAATATGAAAAACAAAAGCATGACCATGTAATTACCTTGCAATGTGTAGTTTTTATATTTTTTTTTTAAACTTTTGATAACAAACAAAATCCCAGTCTTTAAAAAGAAATAAATCACCCACATTTCTGCCAGGTTGGACAACATGTGTTAATTATTACTTTTATTTGAGTGAAAGGTTATAAAGGACAATAAATAATAACATGACCTTTCAGATTTTATGAATTGTTTCATACATCATGATCATCATTTAGAGACTTACATTCTTAACAGATTACGTTTGCTTCATTTAGTACTACGTACATTACATAATGGAATCAGTATTTTTACATTATGTAGAATGATACTAATTATGTTTCCAACACTTTTTTGGTTTAAATTATCCGTGGCTTCCATCACCTCATTTATTTGACCTATCAACAACAGCCTGGTAAACAAACATATATCACTATAGCACTTTAAAATATATTTTTAGCAATGCACATGATCTTTGGTGTCTAAAGTTATTATTATAAATTTTTATCATTAAACAGACGGGGTGGTTGCAGCTCATAAAACTCCGATACTAGAACTCAGAGATTATCAGAAAGAGCTTGCAGAAAATGCACTTCGAGGTGATAACACCATTATATGTGCTCCTACCGGGTCAGGCAAGACAAGAGTGGCCACTTACATCATCCTGGAGCACTTTAAACATTCTGATAGTAAGGAGACTTATTAATGTTACACATAATTTTGTTGGAATTAAATGTTTTTATTTTAGACGTAATCTCTTCATCTGTTCTTAATCCGGGTGAAATTGTGCTTGTAAAGAATTATGTATATGCTTATTAACTCTTTCACTACCACCAATGCATCACAAGATGATTTGTAAACTATGTTAACTGTTTTCTGGCACCGAAAGAGTTACAGCAGATGTTGGATGTAGTATTGTGTTGATTATTTTCAGGGTAACCATTACACAAGTAGTGACAGTTGGTAGCATCTAACACCTTTATTTTGCCATAGGAATCTCGGGTACTCATTTTGTAAAGCATGATTGATCACACAGATGTAGCAGTAAAAAAATATTAATGTAGCTGTTACTGGGGAAAAAATTTATTCCCGGAGAATCAAACATTTCTGACATGATTTGAATATTGAGCTCTGGAAAAGAATTATTCTGTGGTGTTAGGAATCATTTATCCACAGCCACACTAACTTTCTGACACTCTGGTTGCTATGGCTGGTCCAGTACTAGACAGAAGTGATGTTGTCAATGCCATGTGCTGCACTTACCTTACTGAGGAGCACGCCAAAGGACATGACTCCGTATCCCTGTCTAGATTGATGGACATGTGGGTGCAGCCTGGAGCTGCAAGAAATGAACATTTCACTAAGGGGACAAGACTTTTCATTAACCAACACAGAATAGGCGTCATCAGTCGTTTTAAACTTGTGGAGCTTTTGAGAAGGAGATCGGAGCACCTATGGATCTGTCCAGAGTGCTGTGATGATAATCCTTTTTAATCACTAATCATTAGCCACGGCCTTCTGTTTTTTTTTTTTTTTTTTGGTATCTATTGTAAATCATTTCTGATAAAGATGTTAATGCAAATTATGATGTGGAAATTTCTAACATCTTCTCTTTTATTCTCACTTTTCCTTTGACTTTCCAGTTTTTCCCTTCTTAAATGCCAAAAGAAAGTATTCCTAGCAATGAAGATATATGTAAGTTTAAGACTTGGATCTGTGGAGGGATTCAATCCTGCCCCTGCATGCCTTCCTCAGCTTTCTGAATCAGGCTCATTAACTCAGTTTGAGCCTGGCTGGCTAGCGTAGTTGGCTAAACCTGACTTCGCGACAACCGGGTGACGAACTCCTTGAGGTCCGGGTTCACGCCCGGGGGTAGGCAGAAAAGCCACATTTCTCCCAGATTTACAGTATTTATGATGGAATCAAGGCCGAAAGGTTGTGATATCTATAGTACCGAGCCAAATGGTTGAAACTCATGGTTTCTGAATATTAAAAAAAAAACTTTACCTGCAAGTATAGGTGTAGTTTTGCTACTAAGGCCATAGTGATAAATATTGTTTGTGTTAAAAAAATAATTGATACAACAAATTAATTAGTCTTAGTCTTAGTCGCGGTTTCAGCTTCACTGCAGTCTGCTTTCCCTTCTGTGCCAGTGAAAATCAAATGAAGTGTCCCTCACTGTCCCGAACAAATTAATTATTCTTGATGCGTCATTGTAGATTCCAATATATATAATAATATAACTTATTTGCTATACCTGTGATATGCTGATGTTTTAGTTTTGATCGCTGAAAATGAAAAACAGCTGCTAGAAATTATGGACATAATTGTAACTGAAAGTCAAAACAAGGCTCTTAGTTTGAACAGCCGAAAAATGTGAGTAATGTTAATTACAAAGAAAACTGATCCTCAAGAATGCAACATCAAAGTAAATGGGATAAACCTTAAGCAATTTGATATGTTTAAGTACTTAGGTTCCCTGATAATATCAGATAGAAGATGTATTAAAGAAGTTAAATGTAGAATAGCTCAAGGAAAGACAGCATTTTACAAAATGAGTATTTTATGCAATCGTTCATTGTCAGTTGAGACAACAACAAGGATTCTCAAAAGCTACATAAAACCTGTCCTAATATATAGAAGTGAGTCAATGACAGTTGGTAGTTTTGTGAAGAATTTTTTGGAAGCTGCAGAGATGTGGTTTTATAGACGAATGATGAAAATAACCTGCAGAGGCAAAAAACGTAATGATGATGTTCTGAAAGAAACTCACTCACAAAGAGAACTGACTGCCCAAATTAGAAAGTGACAATTTACACTCTTTGATCTTGTCACGAGAAGGAGAAAACTGTAGTGTGTGACAGTAGGAAAGTTGAAGGGGAGGAGAAGCAGAGGGAGACCGAGAGAACAGACGCTGGACAGTTTGATATCATGGCATGGAGGATCATCTGTGTCAGAGTTGAAAGTACATGAGACAGAAGGCTGTGGATAGACATGACTATCAGCGCCACACGGCATGCACTTTAAGAAGAAGAATTTGCCATGTTGTTTAAATCCTAAATCAAAAGTGATCAGTGAATAATGCATGTTATTGATATTTTTTTGCTATTTTTCTGAAGGTAAAAATGTGAAGGTAGCATTCCTTGCCAAGACGGTACCACTTGCTGTACAACAGTATAAGTCATTTTGCAAATATCTACCATCTCATGAGGTCTGTGTAAATAATTGATGAATTAATTATACCTCAGTTTATAATGTTTAGATTAGTCTAATGATAACTTATCTTCACTCAAAGCGTATGTGTGTATATATAAATATATAAAGAGCAATATTAAAAATAATTTTTTATGCACACTTACAGATGGTGTTAAAAAAAGTTTTGCATCTTGATATAGAGGGATTCATATTAGGGCTGTACCGAATAGTGATTTTCACTATTCGGCCGAATACGAATAGTGAATCATCATCATCAGGTACTTTGCCGACTGGCATGGTCGATTATGCCTCGCTACAATCTGCGATCTCCTGCAGCATGTATTAGTTCGTGTGCTGACACACCTCCATGATTTGCAACAAGACTGTCAAGAATCTTCTCTCGTTGTCTTCCTCTATCCCTCCTTCCACATATTTTTCTTGTGGTCACCACATGTTCCATTTTCCCTCATCTTATAACATGGCTGAAAAATGTCGACTGTCTCCTTCTGATGTCTGTGATTAGTTGTCTTCGGGCTCCTGCCTTTTTCAAAACCTCTTGGTTGCTTTTTTTTTTTTTTGCTGTTCAAGGTATTTTAAGCATTGTTCTGTAGAACCACATCTCTTAGGCCTCAAGAAATTATTTGGCCTACCTACCGATTGTCCAGGACTCACATCCATATGTTAAAACTGGATGTATGTAGCAAGCAAGAATTTATTTTCTTACCTTAAATGACAAAGATATATTGCATAAGATGTTCATTTTATAAAATGCAGTTTTTGCCTGTCCTATTCTGTTTCTTATTTCAGTAATGCATCTTTCATCTAATGTTATCCATGTGTCCAAATACTTAAATTTCTGTATTTGTCCCAAAATAAAACCATTGACTTTTATTACACATTTACCACTATTCGTATTCGGCCCGACTGACCTAGTTATTAGGTCCACTATTCGGCCCCGAAGTGAATATTCAGTACAGCCCTCATTGATATACCTTGAAATGTGTGTCTTCTTCTTCTTCAAAGAAGTTGACACTATACTGGACCTCCACAGAAGAAGCGAGCAGAGAATCACCAAACAGGCACTCAAATAGGAAATAAAGGGATTAAGAAAGCAAGGACATCCATACGAAACCCTAAAACTAATGTTGATGAGGGAGGCCAAAGATACTGGGCTAGATTTGTCCATGATATTGTGGTGATTGCACAGGATAGAATAGAATTAAGGAATCGACTGCAGGCCCTATGTGACATATAATGACAGGACAGTGAATGAATGACGAAAAATACATTAAAATGTTATACAACCTAAATACTCAAGAGCTTGATGTTTTTTTTTTCTTCATACAGATCACACTTCTAACTGGTGACAGTGGAGAAACACTGAGCCTTCACATGCTTCTCAACTACAGTGATGTCATAGTGATGACACCCCAGATATTGGACAACCATTTGATGAAGGATTTGTTACCCAATCTGGGAGTCTTCACAATGATAATATTTGATGAATGTCATCACACACGTAAAAAGGATCCTTACCAAGTTCTGATGACTTCTTATCTCAAGTTGAAAGATAAAATTCGACTTGCAAAACAGCGGGGTGAAAAAGTCAGCTACAAGTTACCTCAGGCAGGTGGTAGTGAGATTTATTTTCATATATTACTTTTTTATTTGTTTAACAATTAGAATACTGTCATTTCCCTATGCTTAATTTTTAGGGCAATATGGGATTGAATTGCACTGGAAATTGGTTATAACTACATGATTAAATGTATACTCAGACACATGGATTAGCTACTTCTCTCTTAGTCTAGGCGTTCTAAGCCCTGGAGGTGTCAGTGTTCAGCACACTTTCATCTAATCAGTTTTTCTTGTGTCAGTCTCTTTGTATGTGAAATTTTATTTGACGTTAATATTTTATTCTAGGCTATCCTCCGAACTTTGGGCACAAAAGATGGCGGCCACAAAATATCCTTTCGAGCCTCAGTCACGTGACTTATTTTTCAGTTTTCCGGCGACTACCGTCACCACCACGAGTACCCCACACCGCTCACGCGGCGTGGATTGGGGCTAAACTAGATGGCTAGGACCCACAAGCAGCAGCTTCCACATCTCCTGCAGCTTTGCTCATGAGTCCTAGCCATCTAGTTTTGCCCCAATCCATGCCGCGTGAGCGGTGTGGGGGACTCGTGGCGTAGCGGTAGTCGCAGGAAAACCGCAAATTAAGTCGCCGGAAAACCGCAAATTAAGTCACGTGACTGAGGCTCGAAAGGATATTTTGTGGTTGCCATCTTTGGAGCCCGAAGTTCGGAGGATAGCCTTATTCTATTTCTTATTCGTATCAGTTATGGATCATAAACAGTTTTATTCTACTACATTTTTATTACTGCTATTAATATATATTATCTCTATTACTTCTCTGACTATTTTTTTTAGCTTTCCTTTATTACATTTTATTTTATTAATTCCACTTCACTTTTTCATCTTCCTATTATTTAATAATTTTTTATGTGACCCTCTGTTGGTTGCTGGTGGTTGGAGTACTTTCCCCTTTGTTATTGTTGTGTAGTCAGTTCATATGGAGAAAGGCCCCAGCAGAAACATTGATTCATTAAGCTTTTTAGTCATAAACTCACTGGATTAATTAAATTGAATGCTTTTATGACTGAGAAAAGTTAGCTTACTTTGCAGATAGTAAAATACATCTATAGTCAAATTCACGGAAAGATAAAACATGAAATCATAGTAGTGACCTCATTAACCACAAATATACAGAGAACAATGCAATGAAACTGAATTGAAAATGTGTGGATAAACATAAAGCAAAAAAATGATTAGAACATGGTTTCAGGGAGCCGCCGGGGTAAATCAGCTAGACGCTGACCTGCAGATCTGAAGGTCTTGAGTTTAATTCCGAATTAAGCTGAATTTTTTTTTTTAACGGACCTTGGCTCCCAGGTCGCCCCAGCGTTATATAGGTACCATGTAAAGTCCTGGTAAAATAAGAGAGACCGGCCTAATTTTGACCACATCACCCTCCAAGCGCCAGTTGGTCTATAAAATTTAGGTCTATCCCTATAGGCCCAATAAACCTGAAGGCATAGAAAAGGGTTCTTTACTTTTTACAGAACATATTTTCTGAACATAATCTCTTCATTATAATATTTAATTTCAACCGTATTTTATTTAAATCTAAGATTTAAGCCTAACCCGAATATAGTTTCCCGTTTCAAAAGCTATATCTATAAATGTTTTTTTGACTAATCAAGTAGAACAGCTTAAGCAAGAATAGAAATTGAAAGTATAAACAGTATATGCATTTAATCATAATGTAACAGATTATTTGCCTAATATAATATAACCTTTTATTTTGCCTTAATATAACAGTTTATTACATAATTTGTTAATAATTACAGATTGTAGGTCTGACAGCAACAATTGGTATTGATAAAGCAGTAATTGTAGAAGATGCTGTCAAAAATATTTTGAAAGTATGTGGAAGCCTGGATGTAGCTAACCTTTCCACTGTTCGCAGAAACAGAGATGAACTTGCAAAATATGTCCCTGTGCCAGAAGAAGGTAAATTCTTCTGTTTTATTTCATTATTATTGTATTTTGTTGTGAAATAATAATAATAATATATTTTTTTTTAAATCTTTTAATATTTTTCATTTTAATCAATTGTTACTGTAGTATGCACCTGACGAGATACAGCGAAATATGCCAGGCAATAAATTGTTAACAAGAATGATGCATTTCGAATTATTTACAATTCGGCCAACCGTAGATTACTCCGATATGCGGAAGGGTTAGCGATCAGCCGGTTGAAACCAGAACTTTGTAGGCAGAAAGAAATAGCCGTTACCTTACGGTTACCTTGGTGAAACAGTTCATGAATTTGTGTTTCAGTTTCTAGGATTCAGCTATTTGCTTTATATATATATTTTGTTAAAGGTGTCTGAATTGCTTGAATCCTGAGTTAAGGGGATTAAGTTCAAAACTAAATTATGAAACATTGTATTCGGTCTTCATGTGCTTTAAAAAAAATACCTAATGTCTCATTTATGTCTTATTTCTTTATTTATATAATTCTTCTGTGTCATTTCTACTTTGTTTTCGTGTGTCCATCAGTTGTAAAATTTCTGAATTCATCCATTTGTGTTTATTTTTATATCTTCTTTCTGGTAATACCTCTTTGCTTGTTTGTTAAATGGATTTCTTTAGCATTTCCCATTGTTTAGGCTTTGGAGAATATTGTGATGACTGGAAATATCAGCGGTAGAAGAGGGAAAGGCAGACTGAGAGAGATGATGACGGATGGATTGTGATGGTGGTACTGAGAGATAATCATCGGTGGAACTGATCCAAAGGGCAGGGGAGCCGAGATCTGTGGAGATGCATGAACTCCTACGCCAGTCAGCAGGGCACGTGATGATGATGAATGTCGGTACAACTCACAAACTCAAGCCCATCAGGGTCAGCTCCGCCCATTTACACACTACGCAACACACTTATGATTGATAAGGTCCGGCCAGGATTGGACGTTCAGTCTTTGCCTTAACCTTTCAGACACGCAAGTGTAAGGGGCAGGGATTGAAGCTCCTACTACCAACAACGTGTGCTCTATATTAGAGCATGTGAGCACCTTTAACGACCACATAACATGTACAACTGGCCCTAACCCCAAACCTCTCTTCCCGACACACTGAACCTAGGTCCGACAAGACAGTTCATTCTACATGCCATGGTTTCAGACTTCTTAACATTTTGCAGTGTCCCGCACAACACTCTTTTGCTGCAGACATGCAACGCTACCCTCTGCAATAAACTCATTTCCTACTGAAAATCAAAGATGGCTCTCATATATCCACCAACAAACACTACTACTGATTACGAGCGAGTACGCAATGTTGGTGGCCGCTACTCCTAGGATAAGAATAAACACAAATCGCAGAACGCTGTGTGATTACCAAAGTGCAGTGGCACACCCCTCTAACCTTTACCAAGGTCGTCAAGATCAACCAAGTCTGAATGAAAAGTTGCATAGTGTGTAAATGGGAGGTGCTGACCCCGATGTGCCAGAGTTCATGAGTTGTTTCTGAATGTCTCATTTAAAGCTTTTCTGTCATCACTAGTTTCTCTTTTTGTTTCTTAATAGTGAAGAACTGAAATAATAACACTCTCAGCATTCCCATAAACACATTCCTATCTTCATCAGCCAACACAGAATTCCAATACAAATGATCCCATTGGTTGTATGATTCTGTCTTTGTCTTACCTATTTTTTGTTTTAGTCTTAATACAGCTTAGGGAACGTGATGACGATGAATCTGCAAGAGAACTTGGCAAAATCATGTTGAAATTAGAGCTTCAACTCAAGCATCATGAAAAAGGTTCATATTTATATTTGAGTTATGCTTTGATAACGATATCTACTTTGAACATAGCAAAATATATGTTACTTCATTAAATCTTGCATGATATCTCACATCCTGAAACGGTATTGTGACCTGTGTCAGCTTATTTTGTTTCATCCATGCAGCTGACCTGAAAGGAAGTCATTAATAATTTTTTTGCTAAATTTCATCATGATTAAAGTACTGAAAGTATGTGACACAATTTACTAGTTAACCATCTCTACCGCACTAAATGTGCTTTTATATGTCTGCCTCAATATGGGACACAATTTCTTTGTTATTTCAAAGGCCCACCCCGGCTGTGGTTGGGGACCCTAAATATAACCGACAGGTATAAAGGGGTTTCTGGGACCTGCGCCTGGGTGATTCTCATCTGAGTGGTGGCACTTTATGTCACAGGATGTTGTCACTCATTGTGTGGTCCTGGTGAGGTTGAACATTGCTCACTCGCTCAAGATGCTATTTTCATTATCAATACAAGTATGTACAACTCATTTATGGGCCCTCTTCACCTTTTTGCCCAGGGAAGGCTTAAAAAAGGGGTCCTGACATCATCCTAAAAAATCCCTTAAATAAAATATGGAAATTGTTTTTTAAATGGGTCACTAATATTTAAAAAAAACAAAAAAACATTAGTAATTTGACAGTTTTCCCTCTAAAAACATAAAGATGTGTAAGGGCAGTAATCAGTAAACATGAACAGAGGGAAACATTAAATGGAATACATTCCCCAAAAGCCTAAAAATTTATATCTGGTTACTTATTGAAAATTTGACATCCACAGAAAATATAATATTCATTTGGTTCACAAGAGTCACTCCAGTAATCTTTACTTCTCTGAACATTTTCGTATATCCATTTTCAGCTGGGTTGAATTTAAAAAAAAAGATCCCTATCAGTTAGTCAGCTGTGTAACTTCATCCAGCTCCACTTAATACACTCATCGTCGTGGTTTATGGTTTGTACAATAAATCGTCATCATGGCACAAGGGTGGCAACCCATTAGTGCTCCGTTCTACTTCTTACTCAAACCTAAGTCCTAAGAATCTCAGCGCAGTGCACGAACTCCATGCACCGGGGAGGATCCTGAAATACTTTACCAAGGGATTTTTTTTACGTGCGCAACAATACACACGAGCATCCGATCTCACTACCCAGAGACAAGAGGAAATTACTAGAAGTAAACATGAAAAATCCCAGCCTTTATCCGGGCCTGAACCCGGGACCTCCAGCACTCAAGGTGGATGCCATGCCTCGAGACCACGCCACCCCTTAGCGTCACAAAGCAGGTCCTTTAACAGAACGTCACTCCAGTTACAGCCTGCCTGAACGTAACTCAGTTCTACTCCAGCTCTCCTGTCTCGTGCACTTTCTTTCCCAAGATGTCTCTTATGTTCTGTGACCATTTTCTTGCTGGCCGGCACTTGCCCTTTTTGCCTGGCATGTTGCCATCTGTTTCTGTTCTTTCCAGTCTAGTGTGGCATTTGTTATAACCAAAGTATTTCAGTTTTTGAGACAAAATGTTGTTTATGAGTTAATTTTCTTTGTGTTCAGATCATCTAAAATGTCAGTATGTGTTTGTTTTTTGGTCCATGGTATATAATGATAATAATGATCTTTCTGTAGCATTGCAGCTCCAAAGCCCTATTTTCTTCCTTATTGATTGCCAGATAGTCCACGACTCACATCTGTAATTGCAATATTGAAGATGCATACTCTCAAAAATGTGACTTTTTATTGTTGTTGTTGTTGTTTTTTTCGGTGCTTAACCATAGACTTTTAATATTGTGTAAGATTAATGCACTTGGATTTAAGTAGTCATTTGTTTCACATGACCCCCCACCCCAATTAAGGTTTTTTTTGGGGGGGGGGGGGGGGGTGGCTTCTTGTTTACTTTTTCTCAGTTTTGAAAACTACAGGTTACTTGGTTATTGGTGCTACAGTATAATTGTTTAATAATTGGACAGGATTTCTTGACGTCAGTTTTTCAGTTTGCATTTCTTGAAATTTAAAAAAAAAATTAAATAAAATTTGTTTCAGTTCTAATAATTGCTTAATTTGTTTTCAACAGAGCTCAATGATGCGGGTTTCGGTGTGAAGCTTTTAAAGGATCTACCTGTGAATAGAAAAGATCAGTCATATGAGCAGTGGGCAGTCTTGGCAAAGCAAGACGCAAAAGAAGTAGCCATTCATGATAGAGAAAGGGAAACAAATTTACATGTCAGATTATCAATCATCATTTTGGAATACCTAATTGTAAGTTTGCCTTTTGTGATATTTGTAATTATATGAAGAAGAGTAGGAATGGCTAGCCAAGTGAAATAGCTGCAAAAGTAGCCAAAGAAGTAGCCATTCATGATCAAGAAAGAGAAACAAATATACATTTAAGATTATCAGTCATCATTTGGAATACCTAATTGTAAGTCTGCCTTTTGTGATATTAGTAACTAAATATACATGAGTAGGAATGGCTGGCCAATTGGTCAGAGAGATGAGTCACAGAACTCACTGTCAACATCCATGGCACTGAAGATTGTTTGGATTTGTGATTTCATTTTATAGCAATTACCAGGTTCTTCTAAATCCTTCATTGCTGAACATTGAAAGAAAATAGCCATTGGACGCACATGCTTTCGCTTTACTGAAAGTATTTTAATGACCAACACTGGGCTATTATTTTGCTACAAGTAATTGTTGGTACACATTCCCACACCACCCTCACTTCAGCCATTGTTTTAAATCTAATTTCTTTTTTTGGACTGCTCTGACATGCCATTTCTGAATAAATTGATTAAGTAAAAAATTGAATACCTTGCCATCAGTATTTATTTCTTCAAGTAACATTATGTTTTGATGTTTCACTTTGTCAAACTTTTATTTAGGGAGCATATTAATTTTTTTTGTTATTATTTAAGAAGAACACATTTTCAAGTGTTTGTCAGTTAAGATCTAAAAAACAGTTCTAAGTAATTGCCAATTAAGATCCTCATCCTAAGAAAAAGGTCCCTTCTTATTCCAATATTAGGTACTAATTCAGTGACTTGTTGGGTTTTGTTTTTTGTTTTTTTGGAAGTTTTCTTCTTCTTCACTTTCCCATTTACCACTTTGGATGTCGAGAGGTTCTGCTTCTTGCTCCTCTGGTGGCCTCAGGATTGTTGTGTGTGACCATGTCTGGCACTCGTAGCATAAGGTGGCAAAGAATATGCTTTGTCTAAGTTTCCTTGTGCTAACTAGGATTGTCATATGCTATAAGAGGGGGGTTAGTTGTCCTAATAATAGATTTGCTTTACTGCATGGGATGTTAATTTCTCCATCTGTTAACCGTCTTTGGTGAATTTTGTTCCTAAGCAAAGATGTTACTAATATTTTTCTTGGGCTTGGCATCCTTGCATATACTGTTGATGTAGGGGATAAACAACAGTTGCAATAAGACTCATCCCTATCTAACTCCAGATGTTAATGGTTTAGATGTTCGTAATTTATTCTAACTACGCTTTTATCCATAATTAAACTTATGCACACTCCGATGAGGTGTTCACTTACTCCATATCAAGCCAGTACTTTCCATAATACTTGTCTGTTGACTCTGTCGAATGCCTTCTCCTGCGCTGAGATTTGTTTGATTACTATGGTTTCTAATAATAATTATTATTGTTTTTACATTACTTTTGTGATGTGACTTTTATGAAACATTTTTGTTGTATCTTGCCTTTTCTGTACAACATTATGAAATACAAAACGCTGGTGATATTTGAACTTAATACACACAGAACTTTTAATAAATGTGCGTCCGTTACATTCTAATTCTATAGATGCAGTTACTGATATTATGTTAAAAGTAAAATCATTTTTCTAGACTTATAATTGTCTTTTTTTCTTTTTTTTTATGTTGAAATAATGCACACTGTTTATTAATTTAGTTAGATCATTTTCCTCTCACAGCTGAACACTACTGTTCCTTATTTCAATATATTTCTCACTATTAAAGTATCTTTATCTTATTGCCTCTTGTCATATCTATTGTGTAGCCTCCATTATTATAAGTATTTCTGTTGATATTGCTTTGTTAAGCATTGTTTATGGTTGTTTCATAATGTAACAGCATGTCTTCCTCTTATTAGGCGTGGGAGCTTATTTCTTATATTCTACTTCTCTGCTTAGTCACAATAAAGGTGCTTTGTTCCATCTGTGAATCTGAAAGTTTTTCTAATGATTTGAATGATAATCTCAAGCTTTCTAGGTAACTAGTTTAAACTGTCAGTCAACCTTAGCAAAATATAATTTGCATCATAATTTTTTTTGTTTATTTTAAATGTGTTATATTTTTTGTCTTAACTCTTTGAGTCCCAAGGAACGCATTATACGTTCATAGATTTCTACCTAGATGCCAGTTAATGCATGAAGTGCTGATTTTATGTCTCTCTTTACTACCCTTTGAGCCTGCGATGCTAAACCCACTGGGACTCAAGGAGTTAACAACTTATATTAAAAATTTGCAGGCATATCGTGCTGCCTTGGAGACGTACGACCTTGTTGAATTAGTGGATGTAATTGGCTACTTGGAAAAGTGTTTTCATGAATTCAAACATGAAGAAGGCACAGTTGGAGAAAATCGATTCTTTACATATTTTCAAGGTTACTTTAATGTTTACATTGTTTTCTTTACATTTTTGTATATGGTCATTGTAAATATATGTGTTTTAAGTTAAGATTATATTAAACTAGACAGTGAAAGACAATTTTATTCTCCCATCCTCTACTTCCTGTTTGTCTCCACCACTGTCAAGTATTTAGTTATTGACCTTAACTGTGCCTCGGCTGTTCTACCACCTTTTATATCTGACCCACGAAACTACTGCCCCTTCCAGTGCCCTAGCACCACCTAAGAGGGCGATAGTGCTCATTATAGGAAGAACTTGTCTAGGAGGCTCCAACACCCTGCCTCCCCATTGTGGCTCATGGTTACAGTTCAGACCATTGGCAACCACCCTAAATTTGACTGACAAAATTACCCCACCTAGAACCTCCATTTTGGCTCATGGCTACAATTCAGACCATTGTCAACACCCCAAATTTGGCCGACAAAATTACCACACCTAGCACATCTATTGTGGCTCATGGTTACAATTCAGACTATTGGCTACCACCCTAAATTTGACCGACAAAATTACCAAACCCAGCACCTCCATTGTGGCTCATGGTTTCAATTCAGACCATTGGCTACCACCCCAAATTTGAACGACAAAATTACCACACCCAGCACATCTATTGTGGCTCATGGTTACAATTCAGACTATTGGCAACACCCCAAATTTGACCGACAAAATTACCACACCCAGCACATCTATTGTGGCTCATGGTTACAATTCAGACCATTGGTAACCACCCCAAATTTGAACGACAAAATTACCACATCCAGCACCTCCATTGTGGCTCATGGTTACAATTCAGACCATTGGCAACCACCCTAAATTTGACAGAGAAAATGACCACACCCAGCACCTCCATTGTTATAATTCAGACCATTGGCAACCACCCCTAAATATGACCGATAAAATTTCCATACCCAGCACCTCCATTGTTTAAATTCAGACCATTGGCAACCACTCCAAATTTGAACAACAAAATTACCACACCCAGCAGCTCCTATGGAATGGTAGTGCCTATATTTTGAAACACTGGTCTGACCATTTCTGTATATCTTGAGTTTTATGATAGGTTTGCTTCTAACTGATTACATTTTACATAATATTTTCAGCATATACCGTTTTTACCCACGTATAAGACGATGCCTTGTATAAGACACACCTTGATTTTGGGGCTGGAAATAGCGGAAAAGTAAAATGATAACATAAAATTATTCATCTCACATTTTATTGATCATAGAATTAGGAAAAGCCATGTAAAATATCTCATGCATATGATAGATCTTTAGCTTGTCTTCGTCTATGTCTAATGACAAATTACTGTCTTCATATAGTGCCTCATCTTCAGTTCCATCTGTGGCATTTGAAATTTCACACTTTTTGAATGACTTGACAACGATCTTAATCTACACATTATTCCAGATCTTTTCACCCAGGTACTAGCTTCTCCTATATTTGGTTTTCTACACATTGTTGGTGTCAAATTATTCCCAGAAGACCTCATCCATTGGTTTCATTCATCTCTCATGGTTTAAAGGTTTGTTAATGACATTAAGTGGTTGAATATTAATGGACACAGGAATTCCTAACGTAACAAGTATGAAACAGTGATTAGGAAGGCAAGCACAAACACAATAAAAGTGGGAAAGAACTTTCACAATTTTCATCCATGTTATGTTGCCCCTGAACCAGTACTCCCAAATGAAACCCTATATGGGATATTTTGTAATAAATCATTTGGTAAAAATCTACTACCATTGTATAAAACATGCACCGTTTTTAGACCATATATCTTTGGAAAAATAGGTGGGTCTTATGCTTTTGGAAATACAGTATGTTGAAAAGGACTGGCACTTTCATTATCGGAACTCATCATTGGCTGCTGAAAATGAGGATGGAGCACTTATGGGAATGTTGCGAATGATATGATGTCATTTCTTAGCTCAACATTCAGCATGTTCAAAAGGGGATCTAATTAATATCCTAGATTTAATTGCTGGACATAGTCCAGTTTTATCTCCAGCCTTCTATTCTATCGCTGCCGAATGTTTAGTCTTTGCCACTAAATGGGGCTCTTACTGCCCTCTGACCTGGTGGGGTACAACTTACCTACCTACCTTACTGCCCCCAGTAATACTGTATTTAAAAATGTGGCAGACAGACGTGTGTTGTCGGTTATGAAGGTGGAAAGTTCTGGCTGTTTGTCCACCTCTGGAACTTGGTCTTGAACTTTGTTTGCACATCCATTTAACACATCTGGCTTATTATATGCAGACACCTGGTTCATCAGACTCATAAGTTTTAAGGGAGATAACAAGGAAAAATTGTTTTGTTAAACTAACTTTTGTCAAAATATGTAAGCTACTTGTAAATACTCAAGGGATATAACTTCATCAAATGTTAAGTTTTACTGATTGTGGCATTAATTAGAAGAAAGGCATATACAATTTGTGTTTATTGACTGTAGATTTAACAGTTATTAATTAACCCTCGTAATTGCAAAAATCTAGGCATCATCTTGTGAGATGCAATTTTTCGTTATTTAAATCCCTACTCTGGCTCTTGCCAGGGGCCACAATATAGCTCAACCATAAATATGGTCTAATGGCTAAACGCGGTTTCTGGGACCTCTCCATGGGTGATCTTCATCCACATGGTGGCACTTTGTGTCATTGGGTGTTTATCGCTTGTGTGATGTCCTAGTGGGGTAAAATCTACTACTAATTTAACAAACAAGCATTAACATTATTTATTAGTATCTATCGTTTCCATTATTTCAACACAAGCCCTCTGCTGTCCATACTCAATTCATTTATTTTGTGTCATTTTGTATCATGACAGATGCAAACTTTTTATTGTTCCATGCATGTTTTTTTCTATGTGTCATCATTTTATTCTGACTTCTTTCTTAAACCATGGTAAGTGCATGGATGTATGATGCTGGCCACATTACCCACCAAGCACCATTTGATATATACAAATTTGAGTCTTGCTTCATATGCTCAGTGTATCCTTTGGATATTATTTGCTGGTGTGTTAGGAAGTGGGCAGGCAGTTAGACTGGTCAGTTCTGCACAACTTGGTGGTGAACTGATGTATGACAAGCCATAAGGTAGTGAGTGAACCATGCGGTAGCGCAAATAGATAATTACGGTCTTATGAGAATGGTGCTGCAAGGAGTTACCAGGGGATCTCAATACTCAAGGGAAAGGCGAGACGGATATTCATTCAGACAGTTACTGGTGTCATTGGAATCAGAACTCTTCATTTGCTGCTGAAGATAGGGACGGAACGCTTATGGGAGTGTCCCAAATTCTATGTCCACTCTTAATTCAACATTCAATGCTCAGTGTGCCTCAAGTGTAAAAAAGGTCCTTTACTTACTTTTATCTGAATCTATGAGTTTTAAATGCATTAATGCACTAGGATTTTCTTTACCTTAAGAATATTTTTTTTTTGTCTTTCTTTTAGAACTGAAACGCCTTGTACTATCAAGACATGGGGAAGAAAATCCAAATCTCTGTATCTTGACAAAAGTCTTGAGGCATTATCTGATTAAAAAAGGAGAAACATCTCGTGGCATTATTTTTGTGAGAACAAGAGCCCTTGCTGAAGCCCTCTCTTCTTGGCTTAATAGATGTGGAATTTCAGCAATTAGAAATCTGAATGCATGTAGTTTTACTGGTTCAAATGTCTCTGAGGAAAAAGGAGGTTAGTTGCTATAATTTTTGTGTTATTATGTTATATTTAGGTATGTGGTGAAAATTAAATGCGATGAATTCAAGACATGCGAAGAAATAAGATAAATGTTTGAACTGTTGGTACAAATAGTTATAAGCGAAAATATGTCTGGACTGTATTTTTCTGACGAGGGTAATCAGTTTTCTTTGTGAGTTTGTTTCTGTCAAGACAGCTTCATTTTGCTGCCAGTGTTCTAAATATTCTTCTTTAAAACCAAATTTCTGCAGCCTCCATATAATTTGACACTGCCTGGCTGACTGTTAAAGATTCACTTCTGTACACTGAGATTGGTTCTATAGAACTCTTTCTCACTTCTTATACAAAGACAACATACTTCAACCTCTGGGCTGCAGTAAAGACCAGGTGGACTGCCAAAAAATATTCAACTAATCATGTAACAGGGTAGGGTAAGTAGTTTTTCTTTTCCAGGATTGCAGTCTGTATGATTAACCCCTCAATGATGAGAATCATTGGTACAAATGATCTTCAGCATAACAAGTCAGCATTTAAAGACGTTAGCTTAAAACTGATTATCATGCAAATGTAGGCTGATTGTGGTGTTTTCAGTTGTTTACTATATTGTATCCAGACATAAAATTCAATCACTGTTTGAGTTTTAGATATCTCTCAGAAATATATATCCATATCTAAGTTACAGAGCCAGCAGATTGTTGGTAGTTATAGAGCCAAAGGATTGTTGGTTGTTTTGTTGACTCCCTGTTTGTGTGAAAAGAATTTCAGTAACAAACATCAAAACAGAGAAATTGAATGTCATTGCAGCGCTTCATTTATCAGAATTAACACTCCAGCCACAAATATCATTTTAAGCAGCAGCAGACGTCACATAAGCTAAAAATTTAAATTTTGTGTCATTGGATTCAACAGATAACCTGCCATCTACATTTACTTTTTTGTTTCTGTGTTTGGTTGGCTGTCAGTTGGGCCACAAAACAGTTTTCCCCATTTTGGTGGGCCCTGTTTGTAAAAAGGTTGAAAAACACTGGCCTAGAACATTCTTCATATATCAGACTGCTTTATCTTTATTTTACATTTAACAATAAAGAATGATATAAACTGTATAAAGGAAAATGTGTGACTCTGCTCCTTGTTTTTGAAAAAGCGAATGTTTGATTGATTAGTTCTGAATTTGTCAGTGGTATCAGAAAATGTAAATTTTTTTGAAATTTCAGGTACATCCCAAGTACACCAGGAAGCCATAATCCACCGTTTTAGATCAGGAGAAATCCGGCTACTTGTGGCAACATCTGTGGCAGAAGAAGGTCTTGACATTCCGGAATGCAATTTGGTAATTAAATACAACCATGTTGGCACTGAAGTGACAACAGTGCAGACAAGAGGTAGCTATATGCAGCTATTTATTTTAAAAGTATATTGCTATTATCATCAAATACCTGCTTGACTTGGGCTGGCTTTTGAGCTTCCTGATCATTTCATTCCTTAATTTCTCTCTGTTTAAATTTCCTGTACGTTTTAAATTTCCTGTATGTCTGCATTGGTAGATCAGTGCATACTTTAAAAAAAAATATATAAATATGTCTTTGGTTTACACACACACGCATGCACACACACACACACGCACGCACACACACACACATATATGCAAAAAAAAAAAAACCCCCCCTTCCCCCCCCCCCTCCCCCCCCCCCCCCCCCAGTGCTCTCTTTGCATCTTGATTCTATTTTCCATCTTACATTGAGCATATTCCCATTTACGAGGGTAAGTCAATAAGTAAGTAACCTCACACGAATATGGGACACAATTTTTTTAAATTTTAAAGCCTCTCCCAGCTGTAGTCAGGGGCCCTAATATAACCTAATTGTTGAACTGGGTTTCTGTGACTTGCACCAGGATGATTCTCATCAGAATGGTGGCACTTTGTGTCACCCGGTGTTTATCGTTAGTTGTACCATTATTCATATTGCCATTGTCTTTATCTTGTGGTTTCCAGTGACTGTTGTATTTCACTCAATATGATTTAGTCATTTCCAAGCAGTCACTACTGGGGTGCCTGTTTAAAAAACCCTCACTGCTGTATGCTTTAAACATAGTTGACAATTTTTATTAACTCTTGTTCATGAGTTCATGACCTGTATTAAGATCCATGCCACCTTCTTCACTTAGATTTACACCCCAGGGCATGCCAAAGTAAAAGGTAATGAACTGGTGGACCAACTGGCAAATACTGTGTCAGTGCACCCAGGAAGAAAAATGCATAGTTTGTGATGGTAATCTTTTCTAAAGTCAAGTATGTTGTAAAAATATGATGTTAATCAAATAATACATATTTTTTTCCTTTATGTAGATCAGTCACCCATTTGATCCAAGACTGATAATCATGTAAAATTACAAACCATGATTGCCTATGCTTATCACTAGCTCACATAATGATTAAATGTTTTGAACCTAGATGAATGCATGTTCTAATTCTTCTTGTTCATATTCACCAGCTGTAAACTCTGACAGAAAGTTCTGCTTGTTGTCCGTTTCTAGATTTTAGTATTATCTCAGAAATTGAGATTTGTGTGCTCAACCCTTTTACAGATCTGGCTTATGTTTATGCAGACTGTTGCTCCCTTGCTTCTCAGGTAGAATCACTCTGACTTTGAAGGAAACATCTCTTATTAGTTGCCTTTTACAACATGCTTGTTATTTTGGGGAGTTGGTCTTTCTCTCCCCCCTCTTCCATCCCCCAAAATGGGGCTTTTAAATAAACACAGAGAGAATTTTCTATTTAATATCATAGGTTTAGAAAACATTATGAAAGACGTGATTTTTTCAATAAAGGCATTAACATTTTTGTGTGTGCAAAGATTGCTAGGTTAATTAGCAGTGATGATATCTTTGGCATAAGAAAGCCAGCCAATATTAACTCCAACAAAATAAATGTGGCATGTTTTCAGGAAGAAGTCGAGCATTTGGTGGTGTCTCTGTCTTGCTGGCCATGGGGAAAATACTGCAGAGAGAACGCATCAATCGTTTCAGAGTGGAACTAATGAAAGAAGCCATTGAAAATATTCAAGACATGGACAAAGCCATGTTTAAAAAGGCAGTTGAAGATCACCAAACACAGCTGCTTCAAGATGCCTACATCGCTGATCTGTTAAACAGGACCAAGAGAGCACAGTATCAGTACATTCCATTTAGAATGGTAAGTGTCTAATTAATTAGGGATTATACGTGGTGATGATGAACTGGCGGTCACTGTATGTGGTACAAACTGTTAGAAAGACCCATACAACATAACCATTTATCTACAGACACTGTTCCCTGCCCTCATTGTCATAGATCCTTTCAGGTCCATATGGGGCTTATAAGAGACCTCTGTACTCACAGACAGTCGACTACAGTTTCATGACAGATGAAAGAAAAAATGGTCTGAATGATAGATGAATAACAACACAAACCTGTAAATGGTTGATCTTCCCTTAGCATTAGCTAAATTGTCTCAATGCTGACTTATGTGTGTGCTACTGCTTCCATATGTTATTCTCTCCCCCCCCCCCCACCCCCACCCCCAACACTAAGTAATTATTTATAGATTTTGATGTGACCACCCTATGAGCTTGCTCATGTTTTATTAGGGCCTAGGGAAACAAAGGACAGGATCACTGTCACCTACCAAGTGTGGCAGATAAGGTGATTTTGCACCCTTGTGTTACCAAAGTCCTTGGGAGAAACAAAGAATTATAACACTGCACACTACCACATTTGTCATCTGAGGTGACTAAGGGTGGAGCTGATTTTTGGCTTGGCTATGTCATCCCTTTAAAAGTTTCAGCCAAAAAAAAGCTAACAAGTTGTTAACAAGCCTAAAACACAAGGAGGAGAGAATTGGTAACACAGGCAAATAAAATGGATGGGACAAGGAGTTGGCTGCATAAGATGGCTTGGCACATGTTGGTTCAGGATCTATGCTCCAGGGGAGGATAATGAGCAGAAAAGGATTCTTTGAGCTGCTAACATATGATATTGTTTATGGTTTTATTTTTGTTTGAGTCATAACTTCTAGATTAGTTTTGTTGTAGTTCAGATCATTTATTTTCAAACTATCAAATTGGTAATTATCATCATTAATCTCTTTGCTCTTTTGTTGACGCTTCTTCATCAGCACATTTACTGGTGCATATTTGATATTTTCTAGCTGCTTCATTCATCATGTACGTTGAATAGTCCTAGTGATCGTACAAATCTTGCCTCACTTCTTTTCTGATTAAGATGGAATTATTCCTACTTGGACTGCTATATTCCCTAGTTGGTTTTCATTTACGTTTATAATTTATTTAATAATTATTTTTTTATTTTTGCTCCAAAATTTGGAAGTGTTTGAAGTTAGTACCCTGTTGAATGCCTTTTCATAGTCAATAAAACCAACACAGAAAGATCTGTTTTACAGTTCCCTCTACATACAAGAAACTTCAGTAATTTGGGTATAAATAAAATATGGAATATGTGGCTTATTTATCACTTAAGTCTGTTAATATGTAATTTATGCTAATGATTCAACTTTAATATTCTCTGTAAAATTAAACTAGGATACAGCTAGTATTTTATATAATTTATTGTTAGCACTGTTAAAATTATATAGGTCTAGCCCAATATACCCTATACGCCTAAAGGCGTGGAAAAGAGTCCTTTACTTTTTACTTACTTACTGTTAAAATCCTTTAATTTCAAACATATTGATGGTATCTTTTAAAAAAATAATCATATTTATTAGGTCTGTGCTTGGTGCAGACAAGTGGCAGTTGATGGCACTCATGTGAAAGTAGTAGCTGCCAGTATCCATGTGTCTACTGACCGGTATGTATTTGACAGTCCCTTATTTAAAGTGTGTCAGGTGTCTCTATGCAAGTACCCAAGATATATATTTAGTTTTATGTTCAGTTTTTTGACAGATTTAAATACATCAGCCATTATTTCTGTCAACAACTTGCACTTGGTCATTTCTGATTGTGGCTTTTCTCTCATATTCAGTAGAATCTTTGGGAACATTTCTCCTTCTTTTTTGTTCACCGGCTGTAAGCTCAGGCTGAAAGCCCTGGTTGTTTGTCCATTTGTACTTTGGCTTTTGTGCCAGATCCCGAGTTTTGCGTGTACATCCGTTTCACTGGGCTATTTGTGTCCAGTGGTTGTTCCTTGCCGCTTGGGCAGATGCACTTCAACTTCAAAGGACGCCCTCAATTAGCTTGTTGGGGAGGCAGTGGGTCTGTTCCTGTTTCCCCCACAATGGAGCCCTGGAACCAACAGGGGGATGGGAACATTTAATCTGATTATTTTAAAAGTGGCTTCCACATCGAGACAACATGTTACAAATATTAGAAAATGGCTAAGACATAAAGATAATTTATCACAAACATAATTTTCACATTGTTTTTAACTTCTGAAGAGTTCCCTCTTGCAACCAACAGTGAAGTGGCTGGATAGGTTACTGAAACCCAGAAGAAAATTTTTAGTGCAAGTTTGCTGGAAAATGACAATATGATTTTTGTATTTCAGCAAAAAGGATTCATTTTTGTGCTTCATCGTGTGTTGATATAACTCTTTAACAATGCACCTGACGAGATACAGTGAAATATGCCAGTTAATAAATTGTGCAATGTGTTGTTTTTGTTAAGCAATATTTAAAGCAAATACGAAGGAAGGGGCAGGGTCCAATTAGAAAAGTTGGGCGCATGGTACAAGTGACTCCTTGTGTATAAAAGTACATGAGGTGGGAGAACTGGCAAGAGATCAAGTTTCTTTTAGACAGACCTGCTGAAAAGAGCAACGTTCTACAAAGCACCTGCTACATGATGATGATGATGTTAAGTAAATTTGTTCATACTCTTGCAAGATAGTATTTGTTAAAGCTGAACTTCTACTTCTAAATGTTTACTTCATTCTTTGTCATTAACAACCCAGCAGCAAAATTGTATAGTTATGTTGTCTTAAAGAGTTATGTAGCAATGTGGATCTATTTTTTTTTAAATATTACTAAAATGACATAGTAGTCTTCTTTAATTTTCACAAAAATGACTGGTGAACATTATATCTGGGAAAGAATCATTTAACATAAACTTTGTTTCTAGCAGAAGACAATCTTCTGTCTTTTATCTCTCAAAGGAGTGTTGGCCCTCACCCAACTCTCACCTATGGAAGTGTCATGAGTGCCATGAAGATAACTCGAATCATAACTCACCTAGTCATTCTAGCCTTTGCCATTACTTGCACCTCAACCCATATTTCCTATCTTTTCCCCTCATTCGCTAATTCTCTGATCCAGGTGTATTTGGTCCACCTTGATTATTTTGATCCTGTGGATGCTAGTGCAAGGACATCATTGTTGTGTTGTTATCAGGTTCTTTTTCAGCATGTGTCCCATCCGTTGCTATTATCTTGTCCTCACATCTTGATTTCCTGAAATTTGTTTAGTGTTTCTGTTAACATCTGTATAGTTTATATTTGATTATGTTAATTGTTCTCCATGTTTCAGCACCACACAACAGTACTGATTTATATTAGAGTAAAATATTCTGATTTTGGTACTTGTTTTAATTTCTATTGACTTCCTAGAGTTATGAAAACTCCTCTTTTCTTTTATATTGGTAATTTAGTATCTCTGCTTGCTTTCTCATCTTTAGCAATAAACTATGATGGATAATTTAAAAAGTAAATTCACAAAATTGTGTTATAAATGCAGAGGAATAAGCAAGACTTAACCAGAGTACTATAAGAATAGTTTGCCAGGGGTTGGGGGGGAGGGGGGTGAAAGCAATGTCTCCAACGTATAGCTGAGTAAATCAGCATTTAGAATGAATGTATGAGATTGAAAGTTATTGTATTTTTCACTTCACACAATGTACCCACAAGTAAGCTATATTTTTGACAGCTGTATCAAAGTGTATATATTATTATTTTGCTACATTTTATTCATACTCTTTCATACAGACGTTTACTGGATCATATCGAGATTATACCAGACATGAAACCTAAAGAAATTGGAGATTCTCTTGTAGTGGGGACTGTGAAATGTAAAGGTCAGCCAGAATCTGGCCGCAGATGTAAGAAAAAACTGGGAAGAGTGATCAAACACAAGCAGATTCCCTTTGTAACACTTGACATTAAATGTTTTGCTTTTGATCTTGGGGATCAAAGTAACCTTCAAGTGTACAAAAAATGGAAGGAAGTAGAATTTCCTATTGATGAGCTCACCTTTGAAGACATTGAAACGTAAGTTTTTTCTTTCTAGTACTAATTTAAATAACAGTATCCTGTTCAGCCCATATGGATTATAATTGGGATATATAGAGGTTGTTTTTTTAACCGTTTCAATGATGTATATTTATATCTACCAGTTATGTTTGATTATGCTATATCGGATAGCTTATGTATTATTTGTATAAGATTGGAGAAATATAGATTGTTACATTAAGTATTTTAAATGTACACTCAGACAGTTATAGTAATTATACTGCGTAGTCTATCTTTGCGGATATTTAAAGTGATATGGGATACCATTATTCAATGTTAAGATATATAAACATCTCATGTGTGAATCCCTGTTCTTGTGATGTACTGTTTAATCTGTCCCTGCAGTTATCTAGAACCAAGTAGCCCAGCATGTTTTCAGTTGTCATACACTTATTGCAGCGGATCATATATTCATAAGGGAGAGTCCTTAGGGGTTCATATTTCTTGCAGTAGGGTAAATAATGTTCACTCTCATTATGTACCTGACATACAGAACAGATGTCTTCTGCTATAGCGAAGTAAGCCACTCCAAGATGCAGTCTCAGTAATTTTTTATTGCTAGGTATTTTTAGTTCACTTATCTGACATTTTCTAGTTGCAGTCTTAAATAATTTATAGACACGTCTTCCCTATAAGCGTCCATTCCACATCCCTATCCATTCTTTAGTTATTATTATTATTTTTTTTTTTCTTTAGATTTAATGTATTTTATTATTATTTTTTCTGTCTTATTCGTGCTTCTCTATCTGCCCTTTCATTTCCTTCATTTGTGGATGTCTCTGTACTGATAACTCTATTTTCATTGTGTTTTTTAGAGACCTTATTTTGAGGAAAAACAGTGGGGGAGGGAAGAATATATCCATGGCTTCTTAACATTTCGTAAACTGCAACTAATTAAGACTTGCTGAAATCAAATGTTTTAAGCTGAAAGATGCAAATATTACTTTTAAAATCACAACAAAGTGTACAGACTACTCTAGGATGAATGCAGATGAAGATAACTGTAGAATAGTAATTTAACTCTTTCTGCCCCAAGCAACGCATCACGTTTGACTGGATATTATACATGTATACCAGGCAACATGTTATTTTTTTTTTTTAAATATCTTATAATTGGTCAGATATCAGAGAACTCTGAAAAGCATTTGTCTTCTACCAGGGATGTGTATTTGGTATTTGTGGAAGTAATAATACCTAAATAACATATAGTTTTCCTGCTATAATTAACGGCTGCTTTATATTATACTATCTGTGTGTTGCTGAGGCCCTTAGGGGAAGCTGAGAATGGAAACACTGCATCCTCCAAGCATGTTGTAAAGGGTGGCTTAAGGTACGGTTGGTCTTAGGGTTGGCTACCCCATCCAGTAAAAAGATTCTTCTTCTTCTTCTTCTTGTTCACCGGCTGTGAATTCCGGCGGTAAGTCACGGTTGTTCGTCCAAAATGGACTTTTGGCTTTTACCTTGACCTGAGTTTTGCGTGTACATCCGTTTTACTGGCTTATTTGTTTGCAGTACTCGTTCCCCGCCTCTCCGGCAGATGTACTCCGACTTCGGAGGAAGACGTCAAGCCTATTTCTAGGTTGACTGTGGCCATTGTTTTTGTGTGGGTCGAGATGTTGCCTTATTTGTGTGGTGTCCTCTTTGACTTTTAACAAGTGTGGCCCCCGGCATGTCGTCCTTAAGGCAGCTAGATGTAGAGTTTTCAGCCCTCAAGGAAAGGCAGGGGCAGATCATGGGCATTCCCCGCCATCCAAGGAGGCTTCCATAAATGCAGAGCCGACACATGATGCTCTGGGTCTGGGCTCACCCAAGGAATCGTCACGTCCTGCCCATGACTGCTTAACCTCACAACCGTGTATTGAGCTTCCCGCGCTACAAGGCTGCGCTCTCCGGAGATCAGCGGGGAGCAGCCCGCAGGTCTAGGACGTTTGTGGCCACACAAATAGGTACATTCTTTTTCATCTTACGTTAGACACCTTTAACGTTGTTTCAGCTGTGCCCTTAGCACGACAGAATGGGGAAGCAAAATGCGTCAGGCGTGGCTTCACCTGTTTGGTCCCAACACTCGGGCGAGTTGGACCAGCGGATACGGACATTCAGACTTTTCCTAATCGGTACGAGTTATGATCGTCGGACTTTGAGCTTGCATGTGTGCCGTGGGGTGTAACTTTGTCGGACATTGTTTTCAAGCCAGCATATGAATAGTTGCTGCCATGGTCTACCTCAGCGCGATGAAGACAACACTGAGGATTGACAGAGGATGTACGTAGGTGGGATCTTGCTGCGAGAAGTCGCCCACAAGAGATATTACTCGTCTTGGCTGCGGGTAAATCTCTCGGTAAGGGTTGAGTCTCAGCAGCACAGTTTTCCATTCGCTCCCGAATTTTAACCAAGAGTTGTCATTTGATGGTACATTTAGCAAGCAGTCCTTGAGTTTTGTTACTTTTCACCCATGCGTTTGGGGGGCGGGCTGGTGAGAGCCAGAAAGGACTCTACACCTCTAGGGGCCGCCAGCTCCGAGATCCCCTGCCAACTCTGTTAATGCTCATTTGAGACATTATCCGTGGCGC